TGGGACATGAAGTCGCGAGGTGGGCACCCGCGAGGCGCGCAGCTTTGTGAGCCTGGACCTGGTCGGGCGCAGCGGGGAAGGCTGCAGCCCGGGGTTGTCCGCGCCTCCCCGCAGAGCCGAGGTCCACGCCGCCCACAGCGTCCACCTCGCAGTCCCTCTGCCACCGGCGTCTCTGGGCTCCGGCTCTAAGCACCACGCCGGAGCCTGAAGCGGGTAAGTTGAGCGTCCGGAAAGCTGGGAGGAAGGCGGGGCGGTAGGTCTCCTCGAGGATGGCCGCCTGACTCGCGGACTCCCCAGGGTCTCGGTTTAGGGGTGCTGATTGTGCGGTTGGGTGGGAAGGGGGGCCATTGGGCGTCAGAGCGTTCCCTCCCAAATTCCCAGGCGCTGGGCAATTGGGGAAAGGAGTAGGAGGAGAAGGACCTCGGGTTCCAGGGCCCAGGCCCTCTTCCTCGCTGATCTGGGGACCGTCATTGGGCAGAGCCAGCACCGAGATATGAGCCTGGCGGACTCCTGGGTGGGGGAGCACCGGGAGGGCGCCTGCGCTCCGGGTGCCTCAGAGCAGCGAGGCCCGAGAGTGGACAGCTCAGCTCCCAGGGTCTCTTGGTCTCTCTCCCGTGCCCTACGGCCGCTCAGACTCCTCTATCTGGGGCTCGGCGGCAGTACAGGTCGAGGTCACCTGTGCAGAACGAGACTGCCGCCATCGTCCCAGTGCAGTCCCGGGCGGCAACCCGAAGAAAGGCGTGCAGGTAATGCAGGAAGAGAGGGCGTTTGGGCTGGAGAGTGTTCTGGTAGCACCAGGACCTACAAGGCGTTTATGTACAAATGTCAACCCTCCCCAAGAACTGGGACTGTCTCAACCCCAGCAGAAGTGCAGGAAAGACCCCCATTCTCTCCCTGTTTCCCGTAACAGGGAAAACTAAGGGTCTGCAGACCCCGGGAGAGGAGGATCCTGAGGTCTGGGGCAGCTACACCCAATCAGCCTTGCTCAGCTCTAAACCGCAGTCCCAGATCGCAGGGGAAAGGTTTGTCCAGGGGGGGGGACAACGCCCCTTCCGGCCCCTAAGACGTCCGGAGGCGGGGGCTGGCCTGGTGGCCCAGAGTCTGGGCCTCCCCGAAAGCTGCAAACTGAGGCGCTAGGCGCCAACTGCCAGGGAGGGCGCAGAGGAGCGCGGCACGCCGGCGGGGAGGCCGCGGAGCCCTTCAAGGACCCCGATTACTTTCCTTTGAAAAACAACAACAACAACAACTGCTCTCTCCCCGCGCCCCCGCCCCCCGCCTTAGCCTCCGGGGACCGGCGCTCCAAGCAATTGTCGCCTGGGACAGTAAACACAGCTCAGTTGCCTCAACTTTCTCCGTGCATAAAAGTTCCCGGCGTGCGGGGAAATTTGAATATTTGATCAGCCCCTTTGAGTGACCCTCATTAGCCCGGCGCCCTGCTAAGGCCCCGGCATTGCAAGAAAGCTGCTGGGCCCGGCATTTGTACGCCTTGTTAGCGCCGCTTAATGAAGCCGCCCCTACCGCTCAAAGGCGGCCTTGGGGCCGGCGGCGCGCACCTCTCGGCACCCGGCTCTGCCTAATGAGCCCTGTCGCCCGCTAAAGGCTCCTCCGCCCCCCACATCCTCAAACAAGAGAAGTTTGGCTGTCTTGGGCCACTGCACATCCCATTGCCAGGCCCAGGAGGGTGGGCACGAACCCAGCCTAGCAGGTAGTGGTGACCTAGCCCAAGACAGAAGCTGGAGCCTTGGGGGATATACCTACATTAGTTGTGTGTGTGTGTGTGTGTGTGTGTGTGGCTTTTGCAGGAGGCCTAACCCAGGGTGTACACTGCCAACTTCTCCCAACAGGACCAATTGCAAATCAATTAGTCACCCCAGTGCCTTAAAGGTGCATCTGGCCTAATGTTGGGGTTGTAGAGAACAGCTACCCAGGGGAGTGTCAGCTTTCTATCCTCCTTCCTCCCTAATTTCTCTGGCCTTCACTGACCAGGAAGTCCACATGTCTTCCCACTAAACCTCTTCTGACAGGCAGAATTGGTGTGCTAGAGCTAGATTTCAGAAAGGGTAGGCAGGCTCAGCTCCCCAAGTCATCACTGCCCCCCACCATCCACAGAACCCAAATACAGTCAGCTGCTATGGTCCTTGGCAGTAGGGACGGCAGGTTATCACAGCTAATCTCATCCAGCCTCCCACCCTCCATCATCCCTTCTCCAGTCTTTCTTTAATCTTGTTTCTAGTTCTAGGGGGTGTGAGTGTCCTGGGCAGGACCACTCGGTTCAGGGGCAGAGATGGTGCCCAATATAGACCTGAAGGAGAGTGAAGGAGTGAGTGCCCTGGCAGGAAAGGGAATCAAAGCAACCACCTACTTCCCACTTTCCTCTTTTCTTGGGGTAGGTAACATGGTTGGTCAGTAAATATAAAAGACCTATTTGTACTTCAGCCTTATAGAGAGGAGACTTTTCTTCTCTCTAAATCCCCTTTCCTCTGATGCACTTTTCCCTGAACAATGTTATTAATTCAAGGTCCCCCCTCACTCCGTCCTTGCACACCCAGCTCTTGGGTCCTTAAAGGTTATGTTTGTGGGATTAGTGCACTGGGCGTGAGAAACAGGCTGCTCTGGGTTTACACTAGAGCCTTCTGGGGGTCCTCCTCCCCATGCCCATGGTGCCTCAGACATATCATGGACCTGGTTAGGTTGGTGACCTCAGGATCCCATCCCAGGCAGCTGTCTCTAGGAAGGAGTCAGATAGGGCCAGGTGGGCCCTGAGATAGCAGAGCCCTCTAAGCCCATCTGGTCTGCTCCTCTTCTTCCTCTCGCTCCATCAGCATGCCCTGTCCGGCTTTCTGTCCCACACTAGTTCAAACCCAAACTGACAATCTTTAGGGATCAGTGTGGCTTTTGCAGGAGGCCTAACCCAGGGTGTACACTGCCAACTTCTCCCAACAGGACCAATTGCAAATCAATTAGTCACCCCAGTGCCTTAAAGGTGCATCTGGCCTAATGTTGGGGTTGTAGAGAACAGCTACCCAGGGGAGTGTCAGCTTTCTATCCTCCTTCCTCCCTAATTTCTCTGGCCTTCACTGACCAGGAAGTCCACATGTCTTCCCACTAAACCTCTTCTGACAGGCAGAATTGGTGTGCTAGAGCTAGATTTCAGAAAGGGTAGGCAGGCTCAGCTCCCCAAGTCATCACTGCCCCCCACCATCCACAGAACCCAAATACAGTCAGCTGCTATGGTCCTTGGCAGTAGGGACGGCAGGTTATCACAGCTAATCTCATCCAGCCTCCCACCCTCCATCATCCCTTCTCCAGTCTTTCTTTAATCTTGTTTCTAGTTCTAGGGGGTGTGAGTGTCCTGGGCAGGACCACTCGGTTCAGGGGCAGAGATGGTGCCCAATATAGACCTGAAGGAGAGTGAAGGAGTGAGTGCCCTGGCAGGAAAGGGAATCAAAGCAACCACCTACTTCCCACTTTCCTCTTTTCTTGGGGTAGGTAACATGGTTGGTCAGTAAATATAAAAGACCTATTTGTACTTCAGCCTTATAGAGAGGAGACTTTTCTTCTCTCTAAATCCCCTTTCCTCTGATGCACTTTTCCCTGAACAATGTTATTAATTCAAGGTCCCCCCTCACTCCGTCCTTGCACACCCAGCTCTTGGGTCCTTAAAGGTTATGTTTGTGGGATTAGTGCACTGGGCGTGAGAAACAGGCTGCTCTGGGTTTACACTAGAGCCTTCTGGGGGTCCTCCTCCCCATGCCCATGGTGCCTCAGACATATCATGGACCTGGTTAGGTTGGTGACCTCAGGATCCCATCCCAGGCAGCTGTCTCTAGGAAGGAGTCAGATAGGGCCAGGTGGGCCCTGAGATAGCAGAGCCCTCTAAGCCCATCTGGTCTGCTCCTCTTCTTCCTCTCGCTCCATCAGCATGCCCTGTCCGGCTTTCTGTCCCACACTAGTTCAAACCCAAACTGACAATCTTTAGGGATCATCTGTGAACTGGGCAAAGGCCATACCCAGGCCATGATCCAACCAAGGGGCAATAGTAGGGGCGGGGAAGCGAGGGGTGGGCGCTATTGGAGAAAAAGGGACCAGAGGCGGAGGGTAGAACTCAGCCCTGTGGCCCCGAGGCCAGGCCCACAGGCTGCTCGAGGGAGGAGGCAAGGGGAGGGGGCTGGGAGTCCGCGGGCAACCGTCGGGGCAGCAGGGATCTCAGGCGTCGG